TCTACAGTTCAAGGGACTGGTCTCCAGTGCTGAGGGGTTTTGTTGCAGTCTCTTGGTTTTATGGGCTGTAGCCCTAAACCCTAAACCCCAAACCCTGCACCCTAAAACCTTTTAACCTGGACTTAGAGCTCTGAGACGTAGGGCTTTAAGACTCAGGGCTCTAGGTCTGATCCCCAGACCTTCCAACATCCCTTAATCAAGGAATACATACCTTAGGTTTAGGGTTTAGGGTTTAGTAGTTGATTATAGTAGGGGTCCCAAATATGAGTTGAGGTCGATTTCTTAATTTAGCCTAACGGTTCATGCGCCCAAATCAGTAGTTACTTTGGCCTTGAAGTATAAATGATAGATGTGAGGGCCGCGGGTACACGGACCCTCAAACCCTCAAAGCCCTTCTGGGAACCATTCAAGGAATGAGGGCTTATAGGGTTTAGGGTTTAGGGCTCAAGGTTTCGGGTTTAGGGGTCAGGGTTTAAGGATTAGGGTTTTAAGGTTTAGGGTTTAAGGCTTTAGGGGATTAGGGTTCAGGGTTTAAGGTTCAGGGTTTAGGGGTCAGTGTCGGGGCAGAACGGGACCCGACCTGGGTCGGTGACATACCCCGCGCTCTCTTTCTTGGCGTTCTCACACGGAAAGGAACCCCTTCTAATACAGGGGCCTTAATAATTAGAATAGGGTTTAGGGGTATATTCTACTATAGTTATAATAAGGAACCCCCAAAAAACCATATTCAAATTATTAAGGCACCATTTTTAACAGAAACCCAAAACCCACGCACCCAAACCTATGACCTGAGTCCTCAACCCGAAGCACTACACCCTAAACAATCTTACCTATAAGTCTCCATCGGAGTTCATCGGTTTCAAGCCTTTTCTGCGCATGTTGCATATTCAAAGCTTGGGTACTGCCCCCACTCAGTAACAGTTGGATAATATTTATATTATGGATATACTAGGCCCTTAATATTAGCCCTATTATAGACTGTTACTGTATGGGGGCAGCACCCTATTCAAAGCCATGTTCCGGGTTTAAGGCTTTGTACAGCTTGGCTAGCTATTGAAGGCCGCTCGATGACCCTAAGTTGTAAGGCTTGATATATCAGGCATCCTTTTCTCGGGTTGCTATAAGGGTTTCTACAAAAGTTATTATGAGAGTACGACAAGATTGACTAAAAGGCTACTAAGGCGGGTTTATAGGGCCTATAACAAGTTGCTTATGAGGGCTTGTAGGTGTCAAACCTCGCCAACTCACCATCATCTGCAGTTCTCTATCGGCTTGGAGAGCCGAAAAGTCCAGACGGCGCAGCTGGGTCCTAAGTACCTATTGTGGCAGAATGTCGGGTTTCTATAATATGAATTACTGTTATGGTTTGGGCAGGTATCCCCCATATAGGTACTTAGGACTCTTTGGGACCTGCAAGATAATGAAGAACACCACCAGAAAAAGGAGCCAATCCTCCGACACTAAGCCAAGTTTCGAATGCCGTGCGCTATGTTCTGAGGCCGTGTGGGCGAGGTCATCAATGTCAGTGCCAGAGGCATTGACGACATCACTGCAGCGGCGGCTGTGCTATGTACCTCATGCATTACCCACTGCTTGAGGGCACTTGCGCCAAACCTGCGACTCAGAGCCACACTTAGCGCAGCGCATGATCTTGCCGTCTTTTCCATGTGGGTCGCGTCCGCCTGATCGGTCCTTTCCCTCGTGTCCTTTACCGGCAGATTTTCCCCCACCAGCGAAAGCATTCTTTAGGGAAGGTGTTTAGGTTTCAAAGGTGATTTGTTCATGCTACATTGGTTTTTGTTGAAGTGCAGCATGAATTGTCAGCCGCGAGCCCTGACGAAAACAACCATAAACCTTGGACCCTTAAATCCCCCACGGCCCTAAACCCTAAACCGACCCCCCCCCCCCNNNNGGGTTTAGGGTTTAGGGGCTTACAGTTCGGGGTCTCGGGTTCAGGGTTGCGGGTTTTTTTGTTTATAGGGGTTTAGGGATTGGGGGTTTAGCGTTCGGGAAACATAGGCGCCTTGATAATTACCTACATATATATATATATATATTTTTTAGGGTCCTTATTACAAATATAGTAGAATATAACCCAGAACCCTGTTCCAATTAATCAGGCCCCTACATTAACTGCCTCAGAGCTGCCCTCCTAGAGCATTACAGGGGCATGGGCGTGTCTGACACATGGGTAGTTCTCTAAATTAGGGTCCTTTTGGGGGTCTTTTAAACCCTAAACCCTAAACACTAAACTCTAAACCCTAAACTCTGAACCCTAAACCCTAATAAGAATAACCCTACATTACAGGGTCTTAGGGGTTCCCTTCGAAGCGGGCCTTGCCAGGCAGTAGCGGCACATAGACTCTGGAGGCCTCCCGGAGGCCCCCCCCCCCCTCGCTTCCCTTTAGGTTTAGGGCTTAAGGTCTTAAGGGTTTAGGGTTTAGGGCTTAAAGGTTTAGGGTTGAGGGTTTCATAGGTTTAGGGCTTAAGGGCTTAGGGTTTAGGGTTGAAGGCTTAGGGCTTAGGGCTTAAGGGTTTAGGGCTTAAGGGTTCAGGGTTTAGGGCTTAGGGTTTAGGGCTTAGGGTTGAGGGTTTAGAGCTGAAAACCACCGGACCAACAATGGATCTGCGAGCGACTCTTTGCCGCAGGCTTCTTTTGTTGAACCCCTTTCTCGGAGAAAACTAGCGTAGGGGCAAAAATCTTACCTATATTATTTTGGGGGTTGCTAATTATAAATGTAGTATAATGGGAACCAAAACCAAATTCCAAGTATTCAGGCCCCTACATTATAGGGTTTAGGTCTTGGGCTTCATGTGGCCTGGGGTTTAGGTTGTAGGGCTTAGGTGCTGTGTAGTTTGTTCTCTGTAAAAAAGACTGTCGGGATTGTATTCTTCCTAGGGCAGCCAAGGTATGTACTTACCTTATGTACCACATTTTGAGGGTCATCTCACTTGTCTAAACGTAGATTGGTTACTCTAGGCAAGCCTGAAGCATCACACTTCCCTTAACTTTCTCTGAGGGCCCATATGCCCAAATTAACAAAGTGCATACTTTGGCCCAAAAGTAGTCCCTGCCTATACAAATACAGGTACTTTCGGGCCAATGTATGTTCTAATTTCGTACATGGGCCCTCAGCAGAACCCCGGGCCCCCTAAAGCCTGAACCCTAAACCCCGAAACCCTAGACCTGTAAAAAGCCCCCAAAACCTATAACATAGGGGCCTTACCAATTAGAATATGGGTTTGGGACCCATTATACTATAGTTATTCTACGGAACCTCCAAAACAGTATAGGTAATTTCTAAGGCCCCTATATTACCCTAAACAGGCCCTGAAGCCTGCACGCCTATATCTAAGCCCCCCTTAACCCTACTTCTTATAAGCCCTAGTCCAGCCCCAACACCTGGATACCCAAACAGCTAAAACTCGAAGGGTCCATGTATCCCAATTTTATATACATTGGCCCGTACCTATATAGGGGACTGCATTCAGAACAAAGCGGTACATGTACGCTGAGGGAACTGTAACCCCTAAACCCCAACACCCCAAACCCTAACCACAAACACCCCATGATCTGGCCCACCTCACCGAGAAACGCAGCCCACCATGCAAAGGTGCCTCAGGATATCGTTATAGGGCTTTGGGCTCAGAAGGGTCTTGAGCTGCGCGGATTTTGAAGGGCTTGTGGGTTTTTCGTGACAGTTTAGGGAGTTTTGGAAGAGCTGTTTGGACTTTACGCGAGTTTCATGAGGAATTCCACAGGGGCCTTATAATAATGTCTTGAATCAGGCTTCGGAGTGGGGTCTGTCGCGTCGAAATGCATAAATGATATGCACCAACATTGTATTCTGCTGCGGAAACTGAGCCTGTTGTGAAGTTTTCACGAGTTCTGGTGGTTGTTATGTTGGTTCTGTCTGCTTCATTTCACGGAAATCCGTAACCACCTTCATGAGAAGCAGTTCCTTTCTGGGCTCTCGCTTGAGAACTTGAAATATATATATATATATATATATACACATACATACATACATACATACATACATACATACATACATACACAGATACATATACATATACATATACATATACCTATACGTATACGTATACGTATACGTATACGTATACATATACATATACATAGACATAGACATACATACATACATACATACATACATACATACATACATACATATACATGTACATATATATATATACATACATACATACATACATACATACATACATACATACATATCAAATATACATATACATATACATATACATATACATATACATCTACATCTACATATACATATACATATACATATACATATACATATACATGCATGCATACATACACACGCGCACACACCGCTCTCTCTCTCTCTCTCCGTCGACCTACAACTCTATATCTATATATACACACACACACACGCACACTTTATCCCTCTCCATATGTCGGTGTGGGTGTGTGGTGGGTTTGGGGAGTATAGTAAGTACATGGAGCAAAACCCATGGTGTATATTCGACATGTCGTGAAACCTCATGTGAGTCCAGGCATGACGGTGCAGATCGGGGACGCGCTGAGGCCTCCCGTGTAGGGTGTAGGGCGAAGGGCCTGGGGTTTCGCGTGGGTAAAGTGGAGGGTTGGGTTGGCCACGAGGGTCAGAATGAAGACTACCGTGATTCCGCATACTGACGTCGGGGTTCGTTCCTTCGCCGGAAAGACTTTCCAGCTGTCGCTACGTTCTAGGGTTTAGTCTAGGGCGGATACTAGATTCAAACATGCCCCGGGCCAGCTCGTCGGCAGGAGGCTTTGGTTGCAATTTTTTTTCGAACCTGAGCTCCGAAGCCGTCCGGGGGGCCTTTCTTTGAGGCTCAGAAATCTGTTGTCCGCCGGTGAAGACGCGTCGCTGCTTTTTCCTATGTCCTCCATCTCCATCATGTTTGTGCCTGTGGAGTTTGTCGAGGATGTGGAGAAGCAGAGTGAAGTGGAGAGCATGGCAGCACACGACAGCGACGTCGACACCGTGGAAGACTCCAGCTCCTCGCAGGTCCCTTCTCCTCGATCAGAGACTTGCGAGGAAGACGAATGCAGCGTGGTTGTGAGGAGCACGTTTATCGAGTTGAGTGATGGCAGCCTCATGCAGCACTTTAGGCGTCTGCGTCGATTCCAGACCGACTCTGTCTTGATAGAGGTTTCTCCAGAAGAGGCGTACGAGCCTGGAAAGTTGAGCAACTCCAAGCACACGGTGGCAGACAAGGGCTTGCGCCACGAGGCACCCTCGGCACAGCAGGTATCACAGGTCCCAACACGAACTACGGTCATGTTGCGGATTCTTCGTTCTGCACTACTCAGCCCTTCACTTTTTTTCCGGTGTTTTGTGGATTTGTGACTTAGAAAGTCGCCAACAGTTTCAGCTTTCATGTCTTTTCGACGTCTATGTGCTATGTAGCCATCTATGGGCCCCGGTTGCTGCTTTACAACTTTCAAGTAAGGAACATTCCGAACAACTACACCCGGGACATGTTCTTGGAGTTGTTGGACCAACACGGCTTCGCGGGGCGCTACGACTTCGCCTACCTGCCTTGCGACTTCTGCAGGGACGCCAACCTTGGCCACCCAGTCTTTCTAGAAATGGTTTAGGGTTTAGGGTTTAGGGTTTAGGGATGTTCCACGGATTTTGTAGAATGCTATATAGCCTTCTAGTTCTAAAGGCCTACACAAGCCCAGTATGCCTCCATACCAGCCCATTCGGACGAGCCTTAACTGGGCTTTGGAGTACCATACTTTAATACTTTTTTTGGGACCTGTTCCTTAAAGGAACCATTAGGAAA